AAAGAGATTGGCCGCGAAGATAATGTGTAATCAAACATCTTATTGTTTCTTCTTGGGAATATTTAACGGATGAAATCAAAGAAAGATGGATTGGATAAGCGTGCTTACCGAATATCTTTTTTCCCAGCTCTGTAGATTCTTGCCTAAATTAACAACATAACACATTCCATCTAATATGCACTCTAGTGTCATCGAAACACTTAATGATATCCCCATAAACCCCAATAACAAGTCATCACAACAATGCTTCCAACATTAAATTCACAACACCAATCAGAACAGCCATCATACTTTTCCAGTCATTATAAAAAACAAGATATGGAAGAATTGTTACATACGTTCAAAATTTGAACCGAAATATGGCTTGACAATCCAATATATCCACATCAATATTTTCCAGCCACACGTATAGTGTAGAGCTTACAGGAAAGTACACCAAGGACAAAGTGACGAAGGTGCACTCCTAGCAACAACTAGGGAGAAAAAGAGACAATGGATAAACATGGGCAAACATCCTGCACGTTACATTTGCTGGCTGCATAGTCATGACTCTGTGATCACCCAATCCAAGTCTCGAGACGAGACTTCTCGGAGGGGGAATTGTGAAACAGTTAAGAAATTGGGGTGGGGTGGGGGTGGGGGGGGGGATTTTGCCTGATGCTGTATAACCCGTGGACCCGCTAACTAGCTCAACACATATCGTGTTGATTCGCTTAGTTTTCAACGAGAAGTTTAAATTAGTTCAGATGATATTTCATCATTTGTGGTATAAACAAGTTAACAGGATATCGCAAATGGACTGAACAGACCGTTCTGGCTTGATTAACTGCTTCCGTCAAGTAATGTATCTTCCAATGTTCATGATTTTTCCCATAGGATCTGCCGCCTTCATTTGAAACTCATTTTGATTGTATGAATATATAATCCCTGTATGGAAATATTGCTAATATGTAATGCTTTGCAAAGGTTATGATTTCCACCTTTGCAGGTTTTTTGTTTTCATATTTTCAATTTCAAACGCTCAATTTCCGCACAACTTTGATTCTGTTTATTATACCTCTACTTTATTTACTCTATATAAAAGTAATTGGTTAAATCGAATATATCCCCACTTTTGCCTGACTGTGTTTTAGTTATGTGTGTTAGTCTGGGAACTAAAACACACCTACACTCGGGTGTTTCCACCGAGCCAATCAGGCGAGAATTGGGCGGAGCTTGTTACCGAACTCGGAACCAACGCACGAGGTGGGCGGAGCTTGCTACCGAACTCGGAAGCATTTTTGGCTCTATTGTAATCTACAGCTTATGGTTTACAAATAATTTCTAGTTAAAACTATCTCTCCAGTGTGTATATATCGGTATAATAAAACGGTTAAAATATGGGGTTGAGGGATGTTAGCAAGTTTCTGGTGTCCCTTGACCATGCCTATTTCCCACGGCTTCGCCTCGGGAAATAGACCTGGTCTCGGGACACCAGAAACTTGCTATATCCCCCCAACCCCATACTTTAACTGTATACAAATGCATCGCAATATCATATTTTTATGGAACACTTCTTTTGAACAGAACTTAAACAAATATTTCACAATCCCGTCAATGGTAATGCTATTCGTTGACTTCATGGTATCATTTACCTTACATAATGAAAGCTTGATTAATTCTGTTAAACTGGGCAACATGCTATACCTACTATCTTAACTGTATAGCTATATACGTTAATGTATTTACTAAATGACTCGTTACTGATAATTGTTTTTAATATCCAATACTCCAAGACTTCACAGGTGCTTTCTTTTTTTTCTTGTTAGAAAAGGAAAAGACAAAACTGTCTTAGTCACTCCATTCACAAAGTTATCTCCAGTTTTACCAATGTATGATTCTTTTTCCCCCCAATCCTTCACATGTGTGTCTCCCGTCTTAGCCGGGAAAGATGAGCTTGTCACCCTCTAGGGGGAGATAGCCTCGTGCCGATTAACACGTGTTCAATTGTGACGTCATTAAAATGTGTCGCCGGTAATTGTGACGTCAACAAAAGTGAATGACGATATTCATACTCCACATGTGTTTTTGTTTACATACAGACTACTGTCGGTACAGTTGTGACTAACATAATAGAATGGGAGAAAAAAATAACCATCCCCTACCTTGTGGGTGTAACAGGGAAATCTCTAACCCTCGGGGAGATGTTTTTGGTTGTCTAACCCTCGGGTAAGACAACCAAAAAACATCACCCCTCGGGTTGGAGATTTCTCTGTCAGTCTTAAGGTAGGGAAAGATTCTATAAGTCACCTCCTAAGGTAAGCTTACTCTTCTTCATTTCCCTGGAACAAAACAATGCTATGACGTCCGGGAAAAATGGTGATGGGGCGGTGAATTTGATTCACCGTTACACATTTCTGAGGTTACAAATTGTGGGAGACAATTATCCATCAGTCCTATGTAATGCAGATCGATAAATCTTAATCCTTTAGATAAGAATTTTGAAGTTTAGGAATCGACATATTCTCGTGCTTACAATAAAAGATCTTACCACCGATTGAGATGTATCTGTCTATATCACACAGTGGTGATAGATTCAACTTTTATATTCCGTATTTTATTTATCTCCTAAATGGCAAAATGATTCGAGGGAAAATAGACAAAAACATCCAAGATTTAAGAAACTGACAAATACTTCACTTTGAAGGGGGTAACTTTGCATTGTTTGACGAACATATAACTCTGCTTCATTGACCCTTTCACGTAATTGCGAAACGTAAGAATGCAACGTTGGTTGCCAAATCCCAAATGCGCATGTCAACTTTCTTGTCGTCAAAATATTTTCGATGTCATTTCGTAGTGTGACGTCACTCTATTTGACTTGAGTATTTTGAGATTTGTTCAGGCTGGATTGCTTGCTTTAGTTTTTGAACTGTCCGCCAGGGATTTATTCGAAAGTACAAATACATGTTTAGCTTCAAAATGCACAGCCAAGTGGAGTGAAATTGCAGTATAAAGCAGGTTACCCAATCTTGAAGTTTTGCCAATTAACGTTGCAGTCTCACAGTTAAAGTAAGAGGGTTTATTTCGTGACAAATGCAAATATGTCTCAAAAGATGTAAATATTTGTTGAAAATAATTTGTGTCTTTTGAGTTCTTGTGTGTTTCAATAAAAGGAATAAACGTGCTTAATAGGTGAAATTAAACTAACGAGTTATCACTCTTTCCAATGTTTTAAAGTCGTATACATCATAAAATACTTCGATGATAATTATTTATTATTTTCATCATTTCTTTGTAAATTGTACAATAAAAAACGAAGGACCAAACCACTTTAACATCACATTTTAATATTTTCTGAAGTTGTACCGCTGATCACAATATCATAGTAACAATATAAATATAAACATGGTAAATCTCATGATGAATCAAGCTAGTTGATAGTGGGTTTTTTTTTATTTCTAAGCCTCACTTTCTATTAAAACATGTAATTATGCACTATGGGAAGGAATGTATCAGGTGCCAATATTTCTGACTCAGGTTCTCTCGTATTTCACCGTGGTATTGATCTTCAAGTAGATTGATTTAAGATGCATTTATCTTTGACATCAATATGGTCATCTTGAGATTGTTGTTGATTGGCATTTTGTATGACTGTAAGAATCTCTTTCCTTCAAAACTCACACAGTCCCGATTCCTGATGAACTATCAAGAGTCATTATTGGAACAACATTACATACAGTGAGAATGAAGGATTAAACGACTAGAATATGCTTATAACTTTTACATTTTATCATATGTTGTCCGTTGATTGTCTGTCTCGTTGATACATAAACAACACCACACGTCTTTATCCGGCGTCACAGAAAGCACGAACGAGTGTTATCCGCGACGTTTGCCAAACCAAAGTGTGGTATTACTTTTATTGTGGGTCTGCAATTGGTCTAAAGCTACATGCACTGAAAAAGACTTATTGACATCGCTATTAATGTTCAGTTTGTTCCCTGAAAACTTTGTAAACAGCAATAGCTAGTAAACAAAACTACGCCGAGGACGGAATAATGACGTCACATTTATCTGAAACCTATTCTTGTTTCGATTCGTCGAGTTGATCATTGGATAAATATTCAAAAGGACTTTGAAAATGCGCTTCTCGGAACATTGTATTACAGGGTCTAAACACACGCTGTATCTCTTGTACGATACGTGTATATTAAGGGTTTATTCCGACTGTTTGATAATAAATATGATGTGTCGTAGCACAATCCTTATATACCACCCAAATCCTACAATAACTGGAAGATTCCCGGCATAGCAAGCCATTTTACATGTACAAAACTGTCTTACAGTACCAAAGTAAACTGTTGTCTTCCTATAAGAATCCATGGTTATAAAGAAAACCATTAATAACATAGATATCACACGTACCGCTAAGCCCTATTAAAGCGTACGGTGATTTGTTTAAAAAAAAAGACGACGAAGTCTTAACCAAACAAAAGTATTTCCTCATTTAAATCACTCTGATACTTCACAGGACATGCTCGAAACATCATTGCGTTTATAGTATCCATTATACTTGCATTTGTTAAAGAGAATCATATTTTGACATTTGGTAGATGATAAAATACCCATCCTTTATTTCACCTCTAAAAGGAAAAGTCATAAGTGCCAATGTGTCATTATTCGGTATCTTGTTGGTCGAGAGCTTTTGTAAATAGGCCTTTACATACTGTATAACAGTAACTAACCCTTCCATTTACTTACACTCGGTAGGGGACATAATGGACTAAGACCACAATTAATTTTACTATATGTTTCATTGTAACATTTAATTTCATAACAAATTCCCAATATCCGATAGCCAACTTTCCATCTAACCTGGTCAAGAGCAACATCTTGGGAGTAAAATATCAAAATTTCAACATAGCATGTTGGCCTTTTTCTTGAGATAATCGTCTGCAGGTGTCACCAATGTCAAAAATAAACTTCCGGGTCAGGGGTAGAGGTAAACACAGGACTTTTCACACAGCACCCTGCACAAAAAATTAATGCACAATATAAAAATTTGACACAGAAATTGTTAGATTGATATCTCCACAGTATTTTAACACCAAACTTTTACACAAACACCAAGTTCTAAGAGGCATAGTATAGTTTTTACTAAAGTACCTATATTTCTAAGGGACTTCATTCGTGGGTACTGAACCCGGAAGCATTTAATTGTGACCTCAGTCCTATTATAGGACTCAATTTTTTTTGATTTTTTTAAGTAAATTTTTCCTGAAACTGTAAGCAATTTGGAACTTGTTGGTGAAAACCGCGTAATTTTAAGACATATAAAACAGAAGTTATGATGAATTTAAAAAACTCTATCATACTGTGATTTTGTGCTGAGTTTGACAGACATTTTCTACATATATTTCTAACTACAAGGGTCAGGGAAAATATCATATCTTCTGAAAAAAATATGATATTTCAATTCTGTAAAGTGATTTATGAAGCAGAATAATATCTCCACTTACTCAAATAAGTTGTTTACATTATAATCTTCAACTTAATTTTTTTTTAAGAATTTAAATTTAAATTTTTGCTTTAAAATTTAAACTCTTTCATTAAATGAATATTTAAACAGTGCCAAAACCATCATTCAGTCTCCATAACTACACAAAATACTCTAGAGACAATTACAATTATCATAAAGATAAGTTGCACGCATGGACGCACCCACAGCCACCTGCATACACACATATAGACAGATAGCCAGTGCCAAAGGCAGGGGGG